ATCACTGTTTCAGGTATGATCATCTCTCCATAAGGATCGCTTTTATCTTCATTTTGTATCCAAACAGTTTGTAATTAAGGGATAAACTGTGCCACTCTGTGTCCATGTTTATGGTACTGATAAGGAGCTATATTAGGTGGAAGTTTAAAAAATTATTTATAAATTTAGATGAACCGGTAGAAACAGTGGAGCACAAATGGGCATGTGAAGGCAAAATAAGAAATTCTGAAGAATTTTGGATTATGAGATTGTGGCTTTATTAGACTATTTTAAATTGTATTAATTTTCAGAAACTGATCAGTCTTTTTGACTCAAAATCATCCTGAAGGGCAAAATCTTGACCTCCCCAGTGAATGGTCTTCATCACAAAAAAGAAACACCTGAATACTTCCGTCTAAATTCTATCCAGATTAAGGTTAATAAATTAACAGGATGATCAACTGTTAAAAGAAATAAGTGTCCATATTTTGAATAGAGGTCAATTTAAAAATATTTTGTATACCAATCTGCTGAGATCAGATATTGCATATTTCACTCACAAATGAGAATTTTCTTTTTTCTTGTATATTGAAGAAATTGAATAGCTATCATTTTTACAGTCAATATGTTTTTAATGGTTTCCAGAGTATCCAAGCTAAATTTTGTTCCTTGACGTGTGATGTTGTGAGTTACCTTGGTGATGGCTTGAGGGGGTTAGGATCAAAGTTTCTCAGATCTTCTGAGATCCTGGCATCTTGCTCTGAGTGCCCAACTCTGTTTATTGATGCTGACACAGTAAGTAGCTCAAAATGCTTTTTTCAACAATGCACATCTGCTGGATGATTGAAATAAAAAATAAATAATTAAATAATAAAGAATAATGTCTTTTCTACAGATAATGTCCTATGGATTTCTGGAAAAAATGAAATTCAGTGTCCTAGAACTTCAAGAGTATCTTGATACTTACAACAACAGAAAAGAGGCAGCTCTCACTGTAAGGAGATAAATTATATTTAAAAAAATTAATCTGACCAGTTTCTTGTGATTATGCTGTTTGAATCTCAACCACCTTGTCTTTGTTGATTACAGTGGCTGAATAGCTGTAAGGCCACCTTTCCTGCTGGGGTTGCAGTGGCATGCCAACCAGTGGAGCATGAAGAAAAAGTAAAGCATTTTTATTTCAGGACACTGTCACCATATTAAAAAATATAATATTTACGCAGATTTCCATTGCTCTTTGGCTTACCTCAAGCCCTTGGCTTTTGTTCATACAAAAAAGTAGATTTTTGTCCGGAGATAACTGAGACAACTTGGATTCTGTTCATCTGCTCTTTCATATTGTACTTTCTGCATTACGATTACTGTGTGCTACTGTAGCTCTGTGAGTGTTACCTCTTTATGTCACTCAGTTTGTTTCAGCCTCAAATCAGTGCATGCCACATCGATTACTTTCTCTGTCATGTGCATTGTGATAACTGTCAGCTCTGCTCTGCATGGTTCAGCAAACGATCCATTAATCCTCCATTAATCCATATGTAAACAATTAAAATCAGAACATTTCACCATTTAATGCTTAACTTTCCAAAGCACTTCTTGTAATATGAACGTGTTCATTTGTTTGGCTTGTTTCACTTTGTCTAATAGTATATGATAACACCCTCCTTTTTTCATTCATATTAAACACATGAGTACCTTGCAAAAGTTAGCAAACACCTGGAACTGTTTGTCCTGTTACAAACACAAATATCTCGGTATTTTATTTGTATTTTTGATTTGACAGGTCAACACAAAGTAGTTTATAGAGTACTACAAAGAAAATTTTACAATGTTTTTAAACCTTTTTGAAAGGTCTTATAACTGTTGCTTGCATTTCTAATCATTCCCATTAGGTCAATACTTTGTAGATAGTTTTTCAGCTGGAGTTACAGCTGCAGGTCCTTCAGTGTATTTCTCTAGCAATGTTACACTTGCATGTAATAATGTCACTTTCATTCTTCTATGCAAAATTGTTCAAATGTATACAGATTTTCATTTGTATTTAGGTCTAGATTTTCACTGGACAGTTTTAATTAATGAATGTGCCACCACAATCCATAGGAAGGGTATCTTCAGAGTGAGGCTATGTGCTAAAATAAACAAATCAGTGAAAATTTTGACTTAAATTTGTTTCTATTTCAAAGAAATTAAAGCCTTGTTCTTTCTCTTCACAACTATGTCCTACTTTATGCTGGTTTAGCACATATAATTCCAATAAAATTTGTGATTGTAACATGACAAAATGCAAAACAATTCCAAGAATTATTTCGCAAAACACCATTGAATCACAATTCTTCATTTTTCAGAGCATGTTAAACTGTTCAGATAGTTTTTGTTCAGTTTCTTATACAAATCTTAATTGCATGGCCTTGGTTTTCTCTTTTCTTATCTTCTGCCTTGTAACATGCTTGCTTGGTAGCGAATGGAATCTCTGGCTGTAAGTTTGTAGTGGCTTCTTTTGTTTCTCTGTTTACTTACAGCTAACTTCCTATTTATTTTCATATCAACTTCATCACAATTATCTTTCAAAATTTCTCATTCAAGATCTACTATAAGTTTGTGTTTGATCCAAAACCATTTTCCTTCCAGCAACTGGAGCTCTGTCAAAGGCTCTACAAACTCCACTTTCAGTTGTTGCTGCTTTTTCAGTCTTATTGTAAGCTGATTGAGCAGGTATATGCAATAAGCTCGATTCCAGAGGTAGGTGTGGTTTCCCTTTCATTGTCTTTTACATTTAAATGCACATTAACATCTAACTTATGTAAAATTATTAACCTCTCCCAATTTTTAGCTTACAAATATGTCGCGAGAGCTAAATGAATTGAAGAGCAACCTGAGAACAGCAGCAGCCTCAGTGTCAAATGAGAAGATTTTTACTTTTGACACTTCCTGCTCTGAGACCATCCTGAGCTCCCCTGAAGCTGCTGTGCAGGCCATCCTTGAGGGATTGAAGAACAATGAGTTTTCAAAAGCAATTCTCTATATTCGTGAGTGCAGGTGTGATAAGTATAACATTCTTTTTGATATTCATTCAGGAAATATCTTGTGTTATTTTACCCTAATTGCAAAGATGGATGTTTGCTTGCAGAACAATGTGGCCTAATGACATCTTTGGCAGCCACTCTGAGGATGAGATCCAAACATTACTGAACATCTACTTCAGACACCAAACTTTGGGTCAGACGGGAACATTTGCTCTGGTGGGCTCAAAGCAAGATCTGACTGAAATTTCTCTAAAGCTGATGGAACTCAACTGTGAGACTCGGGACATGATTCGACGGGCCCACGGCTACAAAACCATTACAGCTTTTCTCCCAGACTCCAGGGTTTCAGGCTCAACTCTCTGATGGCGGTTTGGTAGTGCTCCAAACCTTACTACCTTGCTTGAGGCAGCTGCTGTTGTATCAGATTTTCACCAGAACTCAGTTCTTTTGCTTAGAATGACCCAAACTTTTGATCCTTCTCTGTCTCTGAGAATCAACATTTTTGACTGGACATACAGCAACATTTTTCAGTTATTCAGTTAGCAGTTGTATCAAAATTATCCTTTTCTTGCACAAATAAAAGAATGTCACTAGGCATATATATGCTGCTTAGATGAATAACTGCAACATTTAGCAAACAACATACCAAAGTCAAGTTTTTTTTTATTTTTATTTTTTTTAATTATTTTAATTGTCGAGGGAAAATGTGCAATCCTTTACTGAAGTGGAAGACCTTTTCTGTCTGTTGAAAGAATGTATTGGAAAACACTGTCAGAGGAGGGCAAAGGGATGAGTTGTTGTTTTATTGTGTTGAGTCCTTTGTGTGTGTTTGAGTGTGTTTAAATGTATTGATTCTGCTCGAGTACGTGAATTAAATTATGACGACCGTCACAGATGGAATTATTGATTCTGATTTGTGAGTGGTTCATGTTAAAGTATTCTGATATGGTGCAAATCTACTGTAATGTCAAACCTGCAGCTCCCAGGTGGTTTATCTGTTACTAAAAATATCTTACTGTACCTTTAACTGAGTAGCTTTTTGCAAATTATGTTCATTATTTATATTTCAAGCAAGAGATAAAATATATTATCTAGATTTGTAGAAAAATATGTTTTGTTTTCTTTGTTATTCCTGCCAAGCTTGCATAATGTATGCACATTAAAACAAATAGTATGAAAGTATATATTTAGAAATTATTTTGACTGATGATTTGTAAATAGAAAAATGAGAGCTTTGCTCATTAGATTGTATTTTTATGAAGGTAAACTCTTCGTTGCACGCAAAATGGGTATTTACATATTTATAAAGCTTCCACATTTGCTGTTATAACTTCTGGCCTTGTAGTCTTGGCAGCATATTATTTGTTGTGTTCTCTGATCATAATAAAACTTAAATTTGTTAACAAAATGTTCTTGTCCTTTTTTTTTTTTTGAAGACAAGCATCTCACATTTTGGACTCCACAGATTGTTTTGTGCCTGACCAAGAAGGATGCTGTGAAGTACCCAAAAAAGTAAGAAAACTAAACAAAAATTGGAGAATGAGAAGTATTATTAAGAAAAAGACCTGACATAACTTGAAATATGCATCACCCCTTAATTGGTTCATTAAATTAACCAATTAATTTAATACTGACTGATTCTGAAAAGTGTACGAAATAATAATTTAAAAAAAACATTAAAAAAATATTTATTAGTATTCCTGTAGTCAGCGTAAATAATTGTTCACAACCAGAGCAGAACAATTACTGTAAAACTGTTAATATTTTGTGAAAGGTGCAAAGAAGAAGCATACCACTTGAAGAATCCTTGTTTTAGACGTAGTATTTATATTGTATTTAATATACAACTGAATATTTTCTATTATATTTAACTTTTTCGTGCTGGTGTTTGTCAAAATTAACATCATAAATGGACAGTTTAATTCCGGTCTCTTATTCTGAAGTCGACTTGACTTCCGGAATGCGGCGCGCGAGTTTTGGGTTTTGCTGCGTGAACTAAAAGCTAGCAAACAAGCCGACTGCTAGTGTTGTATCGTTCATCCCAAAGTTTGGTGGGTTATTGTCAAGACTTAATGTTAAGTTTCCCCGCAACATGAGCGTAAACACTCTAGTACTTCGGAATACAACGTGTAAGTTTAATTCCAACTTTATTTTTATGGCATAGTTTCATTTGAAGCGGTTAGCAGTAACATCTTGTTTGGGAAACATTTTTAAAGATTTGTAGCAATGTAAGCAAATTTACTTCCAGAGACAGCTCTTATACGACTACTGGTTTGTCTTGAATATCGTAACTATCAATCTATCAAGTTATTTTAGTTATAATTGACTTGTGTTCTTTCTGAAAAGCCTTTGAACACGTATTCCTCCCGTAAGCCGTGAAAATAGTGTCCCAATATTTTTTAAATCTGGCTAACATTGCATTCTTTCCTTCCTAGGTGATGTGTATAACTAATTCTAGGTGTTGTTCGATTGCTGTGGAATGGATTCATGCATTAAAAACATGTACGACGCTTTCAAAGAAAGGTGGAAAGGTGATATTTGCCAACTGCTTCATTTTTGAGCACATTTTATTTTTTTCCTGTCCTCGTGTTCAAATAGAGGTGCATCTTCATTAGTAAAAGTGTTGGGCCTGGTTTGTTGCATTCTTTTTTATACAGTTGACCAAATGTTGTTTCATTGTAAGCCATAATACTCAAAATCAACAGAATTGAATGCTTCAATTACCACAATATGCATGTGAGGGATTTACCCCTCCCTAACAGGTGATGGGTTTGTGCTGCTATATTCCAATTTATGTATTAAATGTATTTTGTTTGGAGGAAGCAACTTGCTTTGTTTGGTGTTTTGCTTTAATCATTTTTCTTCTCTTTGAGGCAGTGGCGGAGCTAGACTTTTTTTCAAGGGGTGGCCAAAGGGTGAGCAAGGCTTTATCAGAGGGGTCCATATACAAATGGACCGTTCCATGGAACAAAAGGAAAAAATATTTGTTTCCTTTTGTTCAAAATTAATTAATATAACTAGTTAGGTTATAATTCAAAGCTTTCATATGACATAGCCTACTTACATTTCAGTCATTATAAAACTTAATGGTTTTTCACATATTCTTACCACACACGTTTCAAGCAAGAACTGGGAGATATAAAACATTACAGGGCAGCATGTGCACTAAAACATATGTTAAAAGAATCTGTCTAAAACACGATCTACCAGCACTAGCATGGCTAATATAATAAAGGATGCACTACGCAGCGGTGCACAACCATTTTTTTTTTCTTTTTAGAAATGTATGACAAGTGCCGCCTCTCATTAGGAAGGTAACAGCGGTTACCGCTGAGCGGTAAAATGTAAATACCTGCAAAACTCCTCCACGGTGGACTCTAAAGCCGGATGTGTTTTGGATCAAGCAGGACCCACATGTCAGTTTAACCAATGAACAGCGTCGGGCTGCCTTCAGGAACAATCAGAAATTACAGTTTTCCTAGCAAATCTTTGCCGATCTCATAAGTATTATATTTTAAAATTACCATTTCCAGTGGGGTGGCAGTAGGAGTGGCAAGGGCTCTGTTGGGGGTGGCAAGTGCCACCCAGGCCACCCCTCTGGCTCCGCCACTGCTTTGAGGTCAGGTGTTGCCATGGAAGCGCGCCCATGAGCAGTGCTGACAAGGACCTGGTGTTTTCAATCAACCTTAGAATCTATTGTTTGAGAGGGAAGGGAGATGTTTTTGGATTTAATTTGGGGCCCAGATTGTTTTTGTTTTAGTTTTGAAGTGGGTAGTTGGAATGTAAATTTCTTTCTAGGAATATAGTTTAGTACAAATGGTTTTCTACTTGTAAATGTTGACTCCACCCCTTAATTAGTCTAGGAAAAGCCAATGCTGTAAAAGGCAGGTGTTTTAGATCAGAGGGGACTCTCTCTCTCTTGTGTGTGAACATGTCATGCTGCAAACTGGAAGGAAATGTTTTTGGAAAAAAAAGATAAAACAAATGAGAGCTCTACAACTTCTGGACTTTGTTTTTTTTTTTTTTTGATTGCAACCCTACAATGCAGTATTTAACTTTTTACTTATGTCAAAATAAATGCATTTTTTTTAAATAATACTATACTGAGAGATACTAAAATATTCTACTTCATCATTTTGCCAAGAATACTTCAGTGTAAATTATAGTAGTGCAATCACCGCAGATTCCAAAAAGTCATATATTGAGACAAAAGGAATGCATTTTGTGTAGAGGTTCGACTGAAAGCTGGAATAAAAAAAAAGAAGGAAAAAAGGTTGTTGTGTAATATTTACCTAGTTCCATTTTTGTAGATTCATTGTTTTGGCCTGTGTCTTATCGTTTAGAGCTGGGACCGTTGGACCCAAACTGGTTTGAGTTACTGACAGCCCAAGCTTCTTTGAATGAAGGAAGTGTTGCCGATAACGATGAGTTGTGCGCCAACCAGGAGGGACATTTCAAGGCTCCTCTGGAGAAGACGGCAACAGAAAGCCAGCTGTTTTCAACCCCTAAAGTTTTCAGACACAGTCGAATTGTGTCACCAGACACTGCGGATGGTCCTTCGTTCACAGCTGCACAGGGTATAAACAATAAAATAATTAAGACTATTCAAATTAGCTTCAATTTTTATGAAATTCAACACCTAAATTCTACATGTCCCTTTCATTCTATCTAGAAAAAGAAACGTTACCATGGATGCCAATGCAAAGTCCCTGTTTGCTTCAGCCGCCAAAGCAGTGGTGAGTAAAACTTAAGATTTATTCCCTTATGCTGTTAATAACTGGGTTTTCTTATTCTTGCCCTTGTAAAACAGAACTTGATTTTGTATTTTTTATTTTAGTGTCTCTAATTTAAAATGTGAAGGTGTTCAGCCTCAGAGTGAGGAGAGTTTTGGTAAGCTGAAAATCTATTTAATCTTCATATCTATGGTTTGTATAAAAAACGTAATTGGACACATACCAACATTTATTATTACAGATCTTCTGGATTCCCCAGAGAAATTCCCCGTAAGTATAGTCGACCTGAAGCTGATTTTCTTTTTTTTAACATTAGTGATATTTTCATCAAATGTAATAAATAGAACCAAAAACATTTTGTCCCTTAATTTTATCCTCTGAATGAAACAGGCTAGCTATGCCAACCACATTTCTGAAAGTCTCGGCGCACAGATCAATCCTAACATTTCTTGGACCAGTTCTTTTAATACACCACCAGCTTTGCCATCTACTCTAATTTTATGTGAGTTGCAGAAACAATTGGCAAGTATTATTCTTAAATTGTGAATGATTTACTATTTTGTGGATCTTTTTTATGTTTCAGCTAAAACTGAAGAGAGTCCCTGTCCAGTGAGTGTTACTGCAGACAGAAAGGTTATTGTGAGTACTCAGCATAGTTCAGTTACTTGGTATTACTACTATAATGAGTGGACTGATTAACTGATCAGTCATTGTAAATCATAATATCTAACATTTAAAAAGTGTGTAATTCAGTCAGCCTTTAGACATTGGTTTGAATTTTCTTCAGGTAACAAAACGTGAACATTAATAATTCTGCAGTTAAAAACTATTATTTTATATACCAATTGTTTTTGTAAATCTCTTTATAGTTCTGTAGGTCTAGTTCTCAGACTTTGTAACATGAGTAAATTTAAGAAGGTGAAAAAGATACAGCTCGTAGATCTTAAAACAACATCACACCAAAGTATTTATAAAGCAACAGACAAAAGTGCAAAATTTATGTTATTAGAAAAAGTCTCTGCAATGGTTGTGTATTGCCTTATTTCATTAGCAAACTTAGACCAGCTCTAAATATTTAATCTTTCAATGTCAACTCAGTTTTCCAAGTCTTCCCTATGTTTAGGTCACTGCAGTGACACACTTTGCACTGTCTATCAGATATTTATACAGTCAGTTTCATTCAGCTTTGAAGTAAATTGATTAAAAAGTATAAAATGGACTTTGGAATGAACTTGATACATTGTGCAATAACTGCACTAATTTGAACCAATAATTCTTCAAAGCAGTTTGATCTTTCTGTATTGCACCACAGGTCCTCCCTGATTTTAATTTATTTACACCTTCTAAGCTTTAGTTTTAGCTTTGAGGGCCACAAGTGTAAAATCTTGTTTCCCACAACACAAGAAAATTTGACAAAAAACAGATGGCTGTAATGTTAACAATACTGTATTGGGTTGATATATTGTATAACATACAAATCTGTGTTTTTTTTCTTTTTCCTTTCAAGTTTGTACGGAAGCTTTTTCCTTCACTTTCGAATTCCTCCCTTAAGACATCAAGAACAGCCCTAGGTAATCACTTTTTTCCCCATCATCTGCCCATATGTAATACATTATTTTTGTCATTTTAGATAAAAATGAATAAATGTGGATTACATAGGGTCTGTTATATTTGCTGTTGCAGAAGTGTACTCATTATAATACTAAATATTGTTTGTTTGTGCTGTAATAAGTAGGTCCAGTTTTTCCTGTGACTGATGCCTGTGCCGAGTCTCCATTGAACCAGAGTGAAAGTCATCAACAACAGAAAATTCCAGATGCTCTGGAAGGAGAAGTTTGTAGCTCAGATACCCCTAAAACTTTCTTTGCTAATAGCAGTTCTGCTCTGAGAAAAGTGAAACCTGACAGGGTTAAACGTAAACAAATAATTCAGACAAATGAAGACGTCTGCAGCCACGAAGATACCTCAAAATCAGACAATGCTGCATCCAGTGAAGAGGCAATTGTTGATCTGAACTCTGGGGGTTTGCCTTCATCCCCACTGATGAAAACTGGAGATACGGCAATTAGTCAGTGGTCTCCTCTAAGTCTATCTGAAATCTCAACTTCTGTGGCGGGAAGCAGTATGACACTGCCAGGGGACACTGACTCTGTGCAACCAACCAGGCCAACCCTGAAAATTACCGACTCTGGATTTACTCAAAAAAAGAGAAAATTTGTTTACACTATCACAACCACAAAATCGCAAGCTTGTGGTCAAGACTTGGAGTTCCAGACAAGAGATCCCTCACTAAAGATTTCAGAGTCTGGTAAGACATTTATTTTCCAAGTTTTATGTAAGAATATGAAGGTTTCTGCATGTGGACTGGTCATCTTGCCTCTCTTTCGCCCCCATTTTGTGCCTTTTCAGGTTTGATTTATTATCCCGAACATTTTCAGGAACAAAACAGAGGCATAAATGTTTTGTAATGAGCATGTTTTATTTCATTCTGTGGCTTTGAGAACTGACAACTTTAAATAATTAGTTATATTCTTATTAGTCTCCTGTGAGGAAATGTGACAGGCTAAGATAGAGATAAAGTTGTGCCTAATGATGTTGAACTACAAAATGTGCATAATCATTTACTATAATTCTAGAGTTAACTAGTGGGTGTAATTATAATGTATTCCTATTGAGTTGACGTTATCTTTCTCTGATTTAAAAAAATAAATAAATAAATTGGTTTCATGCTCTTAAAAAATCAAAACAAAAGAATTCCATATGAAGCCAAAGATTAGTAAGATATTTGTACATGGGTACAAAATGGAAAGAGAAAGAGACAAGATGATTGTGTGCCTATACTGATTTAAGGAACAAATAGCTTAAGAGACAAATATACTGAGCCATTTTAGAAATGTGACCAAAACGTTTCACTCTGTACTATAATTGGTCTTTGATTTTTTATTTTTATTTTTTTTGTATGCTGTTATTTAGAACAAGAAAACGACAAGTCATTTGTGAACACCCTAGATAAAGAAGAATGTCAGAGGACTAAAAATCAAAGAAATATTTTAGAGGAAACCATAAATAGTTCTCTTGGAACAAAACTCCAGCATATCGACATGTCACAACTTTGTCGAGAGTTTGCACAGGACTTCAGCCAAATGACAGACTTAAAAACTGTGGAGAACACGCAAAGGAACTTCTCTCCTGCGGCATGTCTGTCTGCTATGAAACAAGCAAAACAGAACGGAAAGCCAGCTAATTTTCCCAAAGATTACAGTTGTATCAGTAAAGACAGACTCTTCCCTACCAGTAATCAACCATGCTCGATGAGTGAAGTCACTATGATTGACAGCGGATTCCAGTCAGGTGTAGCAGACGTCACCCATATGGCTTCCTCGTCATTTGGTCTTCCCCTCTTAGAGAATGTTGGCCAAAACCAACCAAAGCTGAGTTTCAAAACTGGTATGCATAATTTCCCCTCAACCAATGGAAGTAGAAAGCCAAAATTTGATGTTGAAGTGCCTGTGCAGACATCTGACACAGAGCAGGCTCCGGATCATGGAAAGGGAATTGAGTTGCACATACTGAGCATGTCAACAGATGAATTACGGGACAGAGAAGAAACTGTTGGTGAAAGTAAATGTACCCAGCCACAAAAAACTCCTATTTCTTTTCTGCCTGCTGATGCGTCAGGATTCAAAACCGCCTCAAATAAAGGCATCCACATTTCCCTTACCAACCTGGAGAAAGCAAAGCATTTTTTTGAAACGACTGAAGATCAAAAGTCTTCTCTTGATAACAGCACAAAATCCCATCCTGGCATTACTTATAAAAGTAATTTGATTCATAAAGAAACAACAGATGCATCATCTAACTCAAGCCTGCCCGCTTGTGCCGGAAAGTCATTTGGAAATATCAGTTCCCAGTTAACAGCCTCAGAAAAAGCCGATGTGACGGAACTTTGCATTCTCTTGGAAGAGGCAGACAGCCAATTTGAGTTTACACAATTCAAACCTGCAAAAAAACTGCCTAATCACGATAATCACAATTCTCCACAAAAAGAAGACAATGATCTTGACCCTGCTCTGCTTGCAGATATAGACTTTGATGACAGTTTTAATTCTGAAGGTGGAAAGCACTCTACAGTCATGATGAATGACAAAGTGGCCTCAGTTTTAGAAAACAGGACACATGGAGAAACATCAAAAGCCATAAATCAGTGCACAGGAATGTCAGATTTGCTGAAAAGGGAAACTCCATTAAATTCTTTGTTACGGAACGTTTCTGAAGACAGGGAATTTCTAAAGTTAGGTAAACCAAGTATTCTTCCTGGGGCTAAGGACACTGAAGCTACATATGAGGAGAACAACAAGGCTTTGATCCATAGTGAGGCATTTAGGACAGCAGGTGGCAATGTTTTGCATGTCTCTAAAAAGTGTCTGAACAAAGCCAAAGCTTTGTTTGCAGATCTGGAGAGAAACTTGACAGATCAGATACCTTCTGATAAGCAGAAAGGGGAAAATGCTGCCATAATAGAATGGAAATATAACCGGGGTTCTGACTCGTTCAGAAAAGATTCAGAAAGAAAGAAGGAAAACTGGGGTGTCGGAAGCAAAATTGAGAATTGCGTTTCCAAATTATTTCCAAATAAAAATGTTAGAAACAGGAACGACACTAAAAGTGTGAAAAATAATGAAATTGACACAATAATCTGTGAAAATGGTTTCAGAAAGGCCAGTGGAAAAGAAATCTCCATTTCATCTAACTACATGCAAGAGGCAGATGCATTTTTCAAAGACTGCCATGTAATGGAGCACAAAGAAAGCAAGAAAAGCTTTTCAAACTTCAAAAGCCCTCAGGTCAGCATTTCTAAGAAGAGCGTCACTGGATGCACTAAACTTGAAAATGTAAATATAGCTGTGGTCTCACATCATACAAAAGGACAACATCTGAATGAAGTGGAAAGAAATGGCAAGTTTACAGCAGCTTTGAAAAATGAAGACAGAAAATCTTTTCTGACTTCAAAGTCGTTCACTATGCTTCACCCATCAAAGAGCACGGATTCATCTGCTTTTGAAGAGCTGTGCATAGGTGATGGGTTTTCTACAGCGGCTGGGAAGAACATCAGTGTGTTTGCTGCTGCTATGAAGAAGGATGAATCGCTTTTGAATCAGATTCACACACCCGAGGAGATAAACAAAGAAACTAATGAAAAAGAAAAGGCTTCAAAAACAAAATGCCTTGGTGATAAGATATCAAACCTAGATGCTGGTGGTTTCCAAGTTGTTAATGGAAAAGAAATTGCAATTTCATCAGCATCTTTAAAGAAAACAACTCTGCTAAGAGAAAGTGAAAAATCAGATAATGAAATTTGTATTTCCTCTCAGCAATCCAGTCCCAAGATACCAGCTACCCCAGTTACTAATCTCTGGAGCAGTGGTTTTTCTGCAGCCAGTGGTAAACCTGTTGTCTTGTCATCGGTGGCCTTGGAGAAGACTCAGACACTGTTCAGTGACATCAGTTTGATCATGGATAAGGTGGAAGAATCTGCTCCAGTTAAAAAGGATAAGAAGCATCAAACAGAACCAGAAAAAATATGCTCTGGTTTTACAACTGTAGGAGGAGAAAATGACCAAATGTCACAGGAAAAATTTGATGATTGGGTTTTAGCCAAAGCAGTGCAAGAGGAAGATGCTCTCTCCACCGATGGTGTAATGCTGGAGAGTGTGGGGAGCAAGAAGGAAGATGAAAAACCTCATGCAGATCAAAGATTTAGAACAAACACATCTGTAGAGGCTGGGAAAGGATGCTTGAGGGATGCAGATAAAGAAAAGAAACACAACAAGAACCTTTTACCACAAACAAGCTGTGGATTTAAGACAGCAAGTGGGAAAAAAGTTGAAGTTTCATTTGAAGCTCTGAAGAAAGCAGAAAACTTGTTAGGTGACTGTGTAGGAGTCATGGATACTGTGAATGTGGCACTGCCAGAATCCAAGGCTATTGATCTTCCAGTCAGAAATGATGGATTTCAATCTGCCAGCAGTAAACCTGTAGCACTTTCATCAGAGGCCCTTCAAAAAGCAAAATTTCTCTTCAGTGACATCAGTTTCAGACCACAGGACCCAAATACTTCACAGGTGAAGAAAAGTGGCAAGAATCAAAACACTAGCAACAATACAGAGAAAATGTCTTGTGGTTTCACAACTGCAAGAGGGGAAAAAGTTGATGTGTTGCAGAAAAATCTTCAAAAGGCAAAAGTACTTTTCAAAGAACTTGATGATCAGGTTTTAAGCAAAGTGGCGCAGGAGGAAGATGCTTTCTCACCACCTTTAAAGAAAGCAACTCTGCTAAGAGAATGTGAAAAATCAGAGAATGAAATTTGTTTTTCCTCTTCCAACTGTGATATGGACATTAATAAGGAAATGTCGGAAAATGACTTAAAGGGTAAAGTACATATGCAGAGAAGCAGAAAGGCAGGTCTTGCAAAATGTTACACAGATGACAAGATGAGGGTAAGCATTTCTATCCCTGAGTACTCCAGTGATGCAAACAAACAAGTGGAACAAAGAGAAAACATTTTACCGCAAGCAAGCCGTGGATTTCAAACAGCCAGTGGGAAAAGAGTCGATATTTCATCTGAAGCCCTAAAGAAAGCAGAAAACCTGTTTTGTGAGTTTGAAGGAATTTGGGATAAAACAAATGCAATGTCATCACAGTCCAAGTCTTCTGCTCTTTTACTCAGAAACAGTGGGTTTCATTCTGCCAGCAGTAAACCAGTGGCACCTTCCACTGAGGCTGTTCAAAAGGCAAAATCCCTCTTTGGTGACATCACTTTCAGTACGGAGGACTCGGATTTTTCACAGACAGTAAAAGCTGATGGGAAACTAGACAGTCGAAGCAAAACTGAGAAAATATGTTCTGGTTTTACAACCGCAAAGGGAGAAAAAGTTGATGTGTCGCAGAAAAATCTTCAAAGGGCAAAATTCCTCTTTAAAGAAGTTGATGATTTCACTTTAACAAAAGCAATGCAAGATGCAGATCAGTTTTTCAACCAAGTAGAAGGTTGGACTATGGACAGTAACAGTGAAAAATCATCAGAACAAACTAATGCGGCACCTGTTGATGAAAGTGGCAGCATTAAGGGAAACATGTCCGAATTCAGAACAAATACCGGCAGTATTTGTGAAGAGCCTGAAAACGGTTCTATCAAAGCAAAACGGAAGGAAGGTGGATTTCAGATGGCAAGTGGAAAAACGGTTGCTGTTTCATCTGAAGCTCTGTTGAGAGCAAAACTTCTGCTGAGTGAAAACAAAGCAGATGAGGAGAGCACTTGTGTTTTTGCAGCAAGTGGTAAACCATTTTCACATGAGGCCTTACAGAAAGCAAAGACTTTCTTTAGCATTGGTGTGAAGTCATTACCTTCAGCAGCAGACAGTCGACGTGACGACCACATAGAAAACAAGTCTCACTTGTCAATTCGCGATTCAAATGCTAAAAGCAGCAACCAGATATCTGACATTATAGAGACAAATAAATCTTCAGACCCAAAATTTCAGTCACTAAACCTCACTGGCTGTACAGAAACACAGCACAAGTTTCTTGCCCAGGAAGCTTTGGATTGCACAAAAGCCTTACTAGAAGATGAAGTACTAGTTGGTCAAAGTTTGTTGACGACTTCAGAAAATTTGCAACTGCAAGATGACCAAGAATTAAATAAAAAATCAGCTGAAGGGGACAAAGGGAGGAAAAGAAGTGCTGAAGATCTCACTGGTAAGTATTGCACCTTAAATGGTTCAATAAATAAATACTGTTGTTAAATATAAATTCTCATTGGTAGTTTATTAAATTTGAGGACTTTTGGTAAAATCTTTTTAAAGTGTTTCCCTATTGTGTAAACTCTAAGATGGTTTTCTTAACTGTTGTAATGTAGCTCAGCCACCTTCTAAAAGAAGGTTACTAGAAGAGTTTGACAGAACGGCTGATAATCCACGAGGTTCAGGACTCCACCCAGTGAAAAGTGGCCCAAATGGTAAAACACTCATACTTCTGCTGCTTTTCTAAAACTGAACATATTCTAAATTTTAAGTTATATTTTTTCTGTTTCATCAAGGGATAATGGACCGGAGTGTTTTCAGGTACAGCACCTTTCTTCATCCAAACATTACAAAGCCAAACAGGTAAGTATTTGGTTGCTGGAAATTGTGTTTTCCAAAAGAATGATAAGATTTTACCATCCTTCTGTATTGTTATTTTCCACAGGGATGCAAAAAGCTTTGTGGACACAAGATTACAAAGGACAATCCAAATGCCGCATTCTGACCAAGGAGATAGTCGATCTGCAGCCTGCAAGATGCTGACATTTGTCCCTCCGTTTTTCAGAAACACAAAGAAAGATGCACTCAATAAACCAGAGGCCAGAGACCGCAAAAAAGTGCCTGCATTTGTTCCACCATTCAAAAAACCAAAGGTTGTCCAACAAGAAAGCTTCCCTAAACAACAGGAGGACAATAAGCAGCATCACTCTTTATGTTTGGAGACCAACAGCAAAACAGATGCACCACTTACTAAAACAACCCAAAGCTGTGAAGAAGTTGTCACTTTTGCCAGCACTTCAAACTCTAAGATAATTAATCAAAGTGTTCCTCTAAAAGTGGGATCTATCAGCTCTACTCAAATGCTACATGTGGATGACAAGTTTTCCGGAAGCCAAGGTAGAGTGATATTTTTAACATAAATCGAATGTATATCCTGTAAAATATAGAGGATTTCCTGTATATTGGTAGAATAATTAAATCTATTAACAGACAAGACTGAGAACTTTGGACTGGCCCGGGACATGCAGGACATGAGGATTAGGAAAAAGAAGCGGCAGATCATTCGACCAGTGCCTGGGAGCTTATTTTTGACAAAAACCTCAGGGGTGACGAGAATCCCATTAAAAGCTGCGGTCAATGGAAATATCCCAGCAAGATACTCGGCCCAAAAGGCAAGGCCACATCGTCTTCTTCTCTAACTCATGTTGTTTCCAGCCAGCAGCACTTCATTTATATGTTGTTCTCTTTCAGCTGTATGAGTGTGGAGTCCATAAGTATGTTCCAGAGATCACCGGTGAGAACGCTGAATCATTTCGCTTCAATTTGCTGCAATTCGTCAAACAAGAAACATTAGCCAATGGAGGTGGTGTTCAACTCGCTGACGGAGGCTGGTTGATCCCCAGGGATGACTGGACAGCCGGAAAAGAAGAATTCTATAGGTATTAATGAAATTCCCTGGTTTTAGAGTGATTATCACATTGGGTTGGTTTAGCCTCCTATCTTTGGTCTCTTCTTGCTGAATTATGCTGAACTGTTTTCCACAGAGCATTATGTGACACTTCTGGAGTGGATCCCAACCTGATCAGTGAGCAGTGGGTGTACAATCACTACAGGTGGATTGTGTGGAAGCAGGCCTCCATGGAGAGATCATTTCCAGAAACAATGGGCAGCCTTTGCCTCACCCCAGAGCAGGTTCTCCTCCAGCTTAAGTACAGGTACATGTGGGTTACCAAAGTTACACACATTTTCAGCTGCAGAAATAATGTTCTAATTATTTAATTATAATTACTTGTGAAAATAAAGCATCATAAATATTAATTTTCTTTTGGAAAGAGTAATACTCTTAGTCTTACTTTTTGAGGGATCTAACATGTATCTGATTATTTGCTAAATTTTTTATTTAAAGTAAAATAAAATTTCAGAAAATGCTTTTTTGAGTGCACAAAGATGATGTTGATGCCTTTAAATATTTTGTTTTGATCTTGCAAAAATATAACTTAAACAAAACAAAAATGTTTGCATACAATAAATATTTGAATACCTAAAATGTTTTTTTTATAAGATTTTATTATTGAAATTATTTAAAGGTATACTTTTATCTTTGGTTTGAGACTTCACAGCATTTTGCAACTCAGCTGACAGAACCTGGAGATATAATGCATCTTAATGTAAAGAAGTGCAGCTATCACACTGCTATAGAGTCTATAATATCAGGACTTTTAAAATGCACCTTTATTTCTTAAACTGGATCTGCTTTAAATGACTGATAAATAATAGAAACTCCTGTTACATTTGAACTCTTCACTCACAAACTTTCACCCTTATTTAAAATTATTGTGCAATTTGAAATACTTGTAATATATGTTCATTCAGATGCTTAAAAAAAATATGAAATTGCTTAATATCATAGGTCAACTCCATTTTTGTTCTGGAATTTAGTTTGAAAATCAATCTAAGTCTAGAGAAGCATGGAATTTTGAACTGAAACTTGTACAAGGACCTTGCATAATAAAACTTGAAAAACAAACATTGAGAAATCTTCTGATAAATAATTTTCTTTTTTTTTTCTAGATATGATGTAGAGGTGGACCACAGCCGCAGACCAGCTTTGAGGAAAATCATGGAAAGAGATGATACGCCGGCCAAAACTCTTGTTCTCTGTGTCTGTGAGATCATTTCTCAAGGTCAGCTACATGCACAAAGCTGCAGCAACACTAAGATGTCACAAAATGCTGAAACCAAGGTGGAAACTCCAGTTGCGGTCGTGCGGCTTACAGATGGCTGGTATGCCATCAAAGCTCAGCTGGATGAGCCATTGACTGCAATGCTTCACAAAGGTCGGCTTGCTGTTGGTGGCAAATTGGTAATCCATGGAGCACAACTGATAGGATCACAAGATGGTTGCTCCCCTTTGGAAGCACCAGATTCTTTAATGTTGAAGGTACGTAAATATCCCAAAGTAGAGTTTTTATTATGTTGTCCACTCTGAAATTGGTAACATGTCATTTTTATTTAGATATGTGCCAATAGCACTAGACGTGCACGGTGGGATGCTAAGCTGGGATATTACACAGATCCACGACCATTTCTGCTTCCAGTCTCCTGCTTGTATAGTAATGGAGGGCCAATAGGATGTGTTGACATCTTCATACTGAGAAGCTATCCCATGCAGGTGTGTAGAGAAAAACCTATTTGTATTTTTCACTCATATTTGTGAATGCTCCATAACTATTTGTCCTGCTGACTGTATGTTGTTTTTTTTTTTCTTTTTTCTTTTCAGTGGATGGAGAGGAAATCTAACGGAGGTGTTGTGTTTAGGTCCGTTTGGGCAGAAGAGAAGGAGGCAAGACGATTCAACAGCCACAAACAGAAAGCAGTAGAGTTGCTGTTTGCCAAGGTTCAAGCTGAATTTGAAAAAGAAGAAGAAGAAGGTAGATGTTCTAAATTCCACTTTTAATAGAAAAATTAAATGTGGAGATGCTTTAACATGTCGTCACGTTCAGGGAGTATCAAACGTCAGCGCAGAAGGCAAACGGTTGGCAAGCAAGATATCGGGAACCTGCAGGAAGGAGAAGACTTGTATGAAGCACTTGGAGATGATCCTGCTTACCTGGAGGTGACATGAAATTCTCCAAGTGTTGACGTTTGCTTCCCTTGTGACCATTTCTAACAAACTTGTCTATATTTGTGTCTTAGGCTCATTTAAGTGAACAACAGCTGGAGAGTCTTCAGGCCTACAGGCGCTCACTGATGGAAAAGAAGCAGGCTGAGCTGCAGGACAGATGCCGGCGTGCTCTTGATGCAGAAGACAATGAAATGAGCTGTCCAAAAAGAGAAGTGACACCTGTTTGGAGACTTTGCATCGCTGACTCAAGGATTCAGTCCAGCTGCGGTCTGTCTTGTTGTGGTGTTTTCTATTTTATCTCTGTCGTTTTAACTTATTCATCCTTATGTGTAAATATCTTTTTTTTTTTTCCTTCCATCTTGTAGTTTATCAGTTAAACCTTTGGCGGCCTTCTTCAGACCTCCAGTCTTTGCTGAAGGAAGGTCGTCGATTCAAAGTGTATAACCTTGTTGCCTCTGATGGAAAGAGACGTAGCAGCGTTGAAACTGTTCAGCTGACCGGGACGAAGAAGACACAGTTCCAGGAACTTCAGGTATTGTATTACACAAAAGACAATCTTTAAGTTATAACTGATAAAGGAAATATTTTCAATGACTTGACTAAATTTTTTTACTCAGGTGTCCCAAGAATGGGTGTCCTCGCATTTTTGGCAAAGAATCTCCACAGATTTTGTAGATCTTCAGAATGAGGATTTCAAGCCTCTGTGTGGAGAAGTTGATCTCACAGGATTAGTCATCAGTGTTGTAGATCAACAGGGTAAGCGCTTGTGTGTCTTTTTTCTTCTCCTTTTGCTCTTATTTATTGTGGACTGTATGTTGATCTGCATATTCATACACAGGTTCCTCTCCTGCATTTTATTTGGTTGATGGGAAAAAAATTTTTGTGAAAGTTCGCTGCTTCAGCAGCTTGTCTCAAGCTGGCCTTGAAGACATAGTGAAACCACGTGTTCTTTTGGCACTGAGTAACCTGCAGCTCAGAGGCCAGTCTATACACCCTACTCCAGTTCTCTATGCTGGGGATCTGACTGCCTTCTCTACAAACCCCAAGGAGATTCATCTACAGGAATCCCTTAACCAACTCAAAAATGTGGTACAGGTATAGTGCTGAAAACTGAAAGTCTCCTCTGAGGCTGACATGTTTTACAAACTGTTTACTGTATACTTTCTTGCATCCAAATCACATATAACATTTATTAATCTTTCCCAGTTTTATTTTCATCTCGTTGGTCGAAGTACCAAGTTGCTTTAATGTCACTGTTTGCGTTGTTTCAGAGTCAGGACAACTTCTTTATGACTGCTGAGGAAAAGCTTGCCCATTTAATCAAGACTGATGGATCCTGCTCTTTATCCTTCCAACCCCAAACGCCAGTCGGCGTTAGAAGACAAGACTCAAAGACAAATGTGAGTTGATATCGTGCCGTGCTGAAGTATCCGTCCTCCTCAATTGCTCCATTATGTATTATGTTACAACCATAAACATCTTAGTATTTTCCGGGATATGATGTGTTAGATCAACACAACACATCTAACACATGTAAAGTTATGTGGAGAAATGGGTGGAGTGCTTGCCTGTGGTTGTTGGTTGACAAATCCATCTGAGCAGAACTAGTCTGCAGTTTCTTCGCAGTTAACCAAGGGTCTTCACAACCTATCTGTTTTATTCTGAGAAAAATATACACGTAGGTGGACTCTTGTTTTCTAGTTTGATGATTTACAAAGATATTAGTTACACGTAATAAATAATGTCAAGGTAAATGGGAGTGAATACTTGTCTCAGCTTGGCTTTCCACAATTTCATTCGTAAAAATGTTTCAAATTATTTGTTATTTTTGTTTTAATGTCACAATTTAGCTTTGTTTTGCTGGTCTGACTCATTAAATAGAAATGTGTGTTTCTATCTTCAGAAAGTGTAACTAGATGAAAATGTAGAAATATCTTTACAAGGCTCTGTATATTTGTTCTAACCACTTGATGCCAAATGAGAGCTGAAAACATCTTTTGATGCAGGTGGCCTTTCTGAAACCAATCAAAAACCTCGGATCGTTTACGCCTGTCAGCAGTAACCTTCCAGCTGCAACATCTTCAACAGAAAAAGACTCCAAAAGCTTGAAAAGAAAAAGAGCTTTGGATTATCTTTCTCGCATCCCGTCTCCACCACCCATCTCCCCCCTGGGCTCAGTGGTGTCTCCTTGTGTAAATAAAACGTTCAACCCTCCTCGAAGATCAGGGCCTGTACAGACTGCTGCACCAAAAGCAACTGATTCTCTGGTGGAGGATGAATGGGTGAATGATGAGGAACTGGCTATGATTGATACTCAGGCGTTGCATGCTGGCAATTTATTTTAGTATATATATGTTACAACTGTAGAGAGAAATAGATGTGAAAACGTTGTTGCTTAAAATCTTGTGGTTGCATTTGTCATGTCCTTACAAATTGCTCTTCACATTAAAAGTAGTGAAATTGCTCTTCACATTAAAAGTCATTGCTTTTGCACTTGTCTCTTTAATTGACTCATGCTGGAACTATAAGTTTAAGCGTTTAGTTTTTGGAATCTGATATATACATAGTCTAGCAACTTTGAAATCCATGGCCTTGCATGTAAAGTTTAGTAGCAAACACAGTTGGTGTGTATTTGCCTTTTTGTATCATTTTTAAACTATCATAATATTATGGGGCATAAGAAATCTGGCTATTGTTTCATCAAAGGAAATTTTGTTTTAAAATTGAAGGACACCCGATCTGAAAACTTTTATGAATCATGCTGCAATAATATGGTCAGATCAGCCAAAACATCACCTCCAGCAATGACCACCACACCCGGTTTGAAGACTATTACTTTAGTCTTCAAACTGACTAAAGTAATGGTAACTCTAATCATAAATACAGACTTACCATCAAGTTGAAGGTAGTTTTCCACAGTTTAAATGCTTTTACACATAAGTCTATTTTGAAACTAAATATGGAATACTAACCAGGTTGCCGGTCTGCTCATCTTACAATGTGTACTTTTTAAATCTTGCGTATAAACGTGTAAACGCTAGAATTCCCAGAAGCATCTCGACGTCAGTCCTGCTGGGGGCGCTCACAAAAACGTCGACTGGAAAACGAAAGAATAACGTCACTTCCGTAAACATAACAGGAGAAGTGAAATGTAGAAAGCGGGAGCCAACTGTCTTGTTAAACTTTGGCAACATTTACGTGTTCTGAATGTGTAAGGTAAGCAACCCGTAAAGGAAAATATGTCCAAGTATAGACGTAGAGGTAATGGTTCCGGTTTAATTCCCCGTCCGTCCATTGTGCTACCTCGTGTTGCACTGCCGTAGCTAATGAGGTACTACTGTTAGTTTCGATGTCAGCCAGTTTTTTTTTTCTTTTTTCTTTTATAATCTTTTTTCTTATGGCCATTTGAGTAAATATGTTCGAGCATGAATACATTGTAGATAAAGACTAAGCTATCGTGTTGTGCAGGTAAGATGTTTTTTTTGTGTGTGTGGAGTAAGTAACGATAGATGAACAACATTGTTGGAAGAGACCACACAATGATCGCTGAAATATCTTCAAACTGACTAAAGTAACAGTAAATTTTAAAAAAATTAACCAATTAGGTTTTACTTTGCTTTCTAAATGTGGTTCAGCTGAAACATTAAAAGAAAACAGGATAATGAAATAAACCGAAACTGGACAAAAGCAATGGTACCTCTTGAAAAGATTGGGGATAATGTAACGATATGGACATGATAACAACCTATGGTGTTCCCCTAATTAGCATTGCAGGTGTAATCAAATAATGTGTCTTTTAAAATTGTGACTAATGGTCACAGTGTTTTTTGTCTGTAACTCATTGACTGTTACAAAAATCATTTGATAGCCCCAAAAGCTAGTGGAACAAAATATTAAGTTTCAGATACCACCACTTTTGTCTGGGTTTGTTTTATTAGTTAATTTTCAGTACATTTTTACTTATTACTTTCGTCAAATTCAAGTTATTCCATAGCCCCAGATAAATCTGGAGTTTAGTCAACAGCAAAAAATCAGAGGGGCGCACTTAAACCTGGGCTTTCTTTTAAAAAAGCCAGATTTCTCACCTCTATCACATACTGCATACATGGACATCTGTCATTAAGGTGACATTTCTGTAATATAAATCCTCAATTATTGTTCTTGTGTCTAATTATAAAATTGAGGAAGTGAATTCAGAATTTTCATTAGCATAATTTAATTGTTTTTTGCACATACCCATAAAAACTTAACAGAATATGCACATAGGTCTCTACAAATAATTTATATAATCAAATAAATTTTACTATTTCAATTGAAATATATGAACTTTTGGATGGTGATCTAAGTCAGTAAAATGCATCCGTATTTTAAATGTTTTGTAGATGTCTCACCCAGATCCGTCCACCACAAGCTTTGAACTCCTTGATGATGCTTCCAAGGGAGGAAATACTAAAAAGTCTGAAGATGATTCTGATGATAAAAGTTCTGAATTAGAGCACAATAATCCTGACATATGTTTAAGAGAAAAGGTGTTGAAGGAGGTAGGACTGACCAGCACTGCCTTCATTGGTCCTGCATTTCCTCCACAAGCGATCTCCACCAAGCCTGACATTGAAGACTCATTGAGTATGTTTTACAAAGAGCTTGAGAAGATTGATACACCAGATCAATCTTATCAGATTAGTGATAATCAAGAGAAAGAAGATGTTCAGCCTAACCTCAACCTGTCTAAACTACCTACCAGCAAACACTCTCAGGATATACCTGATGGGAAAATGTTCCCCACCTCAAGTTTTATGGGAATAAACAGTTACCAGAGCAACAGCGGACCAACTAAGTCCTCCTGGGATCACTGGTATCAAACTGAGCCATACCAACTCAAAAGGCCAAGGCCAGTGGGTAACCAGTGGGATTATCCTCTACCACCTAATAGGCCACCTGATCTTAGATTTCACAGGCCACCTTTCCCTCACCATTCACACCAGTCTCTATACTCAAATCCACAAAACACTTCACCCCCCATTCAAGTCAACCACAACAGCTCAAGAATGATGAACCATCATCACAAGGATTTTCATCCTCCACCATTTTCAAGGCATCCACCTCCAAACGTGTTCATCCCCCCTCCTCCGCAGGGCCGTCATGAAAACCCACCTCAGAACTTTGGATGGAATGATCAGAGTTTTTATGACACGGATATGAATGACGCACCGCTTAGGTGGTCTGGGGAACGAAGAGAAGAATGGCAGCGGTGCAATGACGATTACGACAGGCCTCCGAGATTTATGTCAGAAAATGAGCCGTGGGAACAACAGTATGACTACCGACCCTATGAAGAGAGGCATGAGTATCAGTCTGATTTGGTGCTGATCTTGATGAGAGGATTACCAGGATCTGGGAAAACCACACTAGCAAGGTACAGCTATGAGTAACCACACTTGCTTTCGGGTATTTGTATTGGATTTCCTTATTTATTTTTCACTTGTATGAACAACTCTTTCAGAGAACTGCTTTCCTCTGGCCCAAGTGGAATAATTCTCAGCACGGACGATTACTTTGCTCAAAAAGAAGGTTACCACTATGATCCAGACCTTCTAGGGGCGGCACATGAATGGAACCAAAGCAGAGGTGAGGTCTCGGTAAATTCATGTTTGGACTTAAAGAATTGTGGATTCAAAAAAAAGGTTTTGCAATCACAAGATATTATGATATCTTGGATAAGTACAGTCTTTTCTGGATTGTTTAAATGAATGGTGTTTATGTTCAATTCCATATCAGCTAAGGATGCCATGCATGATGGTTGCTCTCCTATTATTATTGACAACACAAACCTTCAAGCCTGGGAGATGAAACCATATGTCAAAATGGTAAGGTGCTTATTTATTTTTTTAACGTTCAAAAGCCTAGCTTATGAAGGTGTCATTATGAGCACTTAACAGTGAAATGAATAAACACATTTAGTTTTTCATGCAAAAGATGATAAATTGCAGTGCTTGCAGGATCTTGCCTTACTACATTTTTATCCTCATATTCCTTTAAGAGGCTTAAATGTGCCAAGATGCTCTGGATTAGGTTAATTACATTTAGTTATCCTCATTTGTATGTTCGTTCAATCATTGACTCCTCTTTTTTTAGATGTGCTGATGTATTTGTTCATTAAAAGTGAAAAGGAGGTAGAACAGTGCGACAAGATTCTAAACCCCATGATGCAGAGCAGCAAAATGTCCAGATTGTAAGGAGTTAAACACAGTACATTCATCTATCCCCTTAAAAACTGAAAGAATTGTCCTCCATCAAATAATTACGTCAGGAAGTTAATTTAAAATAACCATTGAAGTTATCTAAAATCAGCTTGTTTGTCATGGTAAAGAACATAGTTTTTGAGCTTTACCTAGAAAGCAGGGATTTCAGTTATTGTCTCAGAGGTGCAGCTGTTTTTTAATCTGTAGGGCAAAGTACAGAGATCTGCAAACAAAGTGCAGTGTAATAAAATCGATGATCATATAATCTAACAATCTAACGGTAAGGTACAGTACTGAAAAAGATAAAGAATATGCAGAAGTGGAAACTAAAAGTAGATTTTATATTTTACTAAATAGAACTTTGCAACAATTGTAATGAATATTTGCTGAAGTATGGATTTTGAGACTTATTTTGTTTAGAGAAGTAACTTAGCTGCTAGGAACTTGGTTGTAAGCAAATTGTATGTTGACTTTTTTACTCATCTAAGGTGATTACATAGCCTTTATATACATTCCTTATAGTAACTAATATTCTTATCAATTGAACAATATTAACCCTACATAAATGTTTATGGTAAATTCAGGAATGATTTTGCTTACCTTTCCCTTGGATGGTCAGAATGTTTTGCTTGCTTGATACACTATAGTCAATTAACAGTTTAAATTCATTTCACAGGCCTTGGACAGTGGATACAAAGTTGACTTTTATGAACCTGACACCAGCTGGAAGTTTGATCCTTGTGAATTGGAGAAGTAATTAGAATATATTTTTCTGTAGATATATTTTTAGATTTTAAAGCAGCACTTTATAATCTTTCTTTTTGTACTTCACCTTCAGGAGGAACAAGCATGGCGTTCCTCAGGACAAGATTGCTCAGATGATGGATCGCTTTTCGTTTCCCATCTCCATAGACATTGTCATGAATTCATATGAACCAGCTCATGTCAATCAGAGACGTCGACCAGAGCAGCAGCAAATTAGGAAAAAAATGTATTTTTGTTAGTTTTTCTGAGAGAAAACTCTAATTTTACCAAAAGAGTAAGACTTGTGGTCATGCAAATGTCACTTTTGGTAATTTATAGTGTTTTTTAATTTATTTCTTTACATATTGTAAATTTCTAATGAAGAAAACTGAATCTATATTTTTAAAGGTGTTTTTTTTTTGTTTTGTTTTTTTGTTTTTTTTAAATCTAATTACCGCAAGTGGAAATCAGATTTGTATATATTTTCC